GTACTGCCAAGAAGTGGGGGGCAGAGGGGTGATGCTCACTTAGCTAAAATTTCACAGCTAGATGTCTTGGAGGTAGGGTCCTGTGGCGACATAGCACGAATGGTCCCTTTAGTCATCATGTCTTCTTGTTGAACTTTCTTTTTCAACATCACATTGGAAATGCTGCATCCCATGTTCTTTGTTTTTGTTTGTTTGTTTTTTGAGACAGGGTTTCATCATGTAGTTCAGCCTGGCCTGGATTCACTAGGTATCCTAAGCTGATCTTGAACACTTGGGGATCCTCCTGTCTCAGCCTCCACGTGCTGGGATTATAGGCATACCGTGGCTGCACCCGGCGTTTTAATCAGCACTAATTTGATTCAGACACAGCATACAAAGCAGATTACTGAATTTTAGTATGACATTAATATGGGTCCAGTCAACTTAAGTTCTTTTCTAAAGAATCGAAACATAGTAAGGAATAAAAAGCACATGCAGGCTCAAAACCCAGTATTTTACCAAAGTTTTGAAATAAATCTCTAAGAGAAATATTATTAAGACCATATGATCATTAAACGTTTAAGAAATGGATGGATTAAATGTGCAAGAAAGAATTCATGTACGAAAAGTAGAACTTATTCACATTCCAAAGCTTTTCTTTTGCAAACAATCTTCCATTTTGGATACAGCAAAACAATACAGCCTCTAGAAAACCAATTAAGAATTCAAATTCATATCCCCAGCTTCCCCCAAGGAAATCTATTGATTTGTAATTTGGCCTTGAATTTGACCTGTGGCCTTCGTGTCATGATAATTTGGGTCACTTTGAATATGCAATTCCTTGAACAAGGGCCTCTACTAATTTAAAATGAATGCAGCCGCCCATTTGCCAATCTTCCATTTGCATCACAATATGTGGGAATAAATTCGCAATTAATAAGACATTTCCAGTAGGTGGTCAGACTGAGGAAATGAAGGCCGTTCATCCATTAAGTTAAAAAAAAGTATTGTTTCATTTTTGCCTTTTTGGACATAAAAGAAAACGGTAGGTGTCTTTGACAATCTTGGTACAGGCCAGAATTGTACCCTAGTTACCACATCTAACAAAACACAACAAAGTCCAAACACTTTTTTTTTTAAGGCAGGGTCTCGCTATGCAGCTCAGGCTGGCCTTGCGCTCTTTGTAGTCCCGGCTGGTCTCGAACTTGAAATATCAAATCCGATTTTAAATAATAAATGTAGAAAAGTTTCTATCAGGCCTTTAAAAAATGGTTTTCTTTCTTTCATTCTTTTTCGCCTCTCTCCTCTCTCTGGGTCATTTTATAGGAATCCTCAAATTTGATTCGGGAAGCCTCGCATTGAAATCAAGCTGCAGGAAGCTCTCGCGAACACCCACCTCGCCCTGGACGGTACCTAAGCCACAGGGTAGTCCGGCCCAGGGAGGAACAGGCGCTCCAGAGGAAAGCGCTGGCGCGGGCGGAGGGGCCGGGGCTCGAGAGGCGCCCCGGACTCCCGCGGAGGCGGCGGCGTGAGGACGTCGGGGTCGCTGCTGCGGGTTCGAGCTGCTGTTTTCACTGCGTGGAGCGGACCTCCCCGTTTCCCACCGACGAAAGTCTCATCCTCCAAGCCAGCCCGAACCCTCACCGAGGTGCCTAGCTTCCCTTGGGGCTCATCTCTCACTCGCAGCCCTGAATACCAGCAGGAGTTGACGTCTTAAAATCGGGCCAAGCAGGGCCTTTAACCTCACTCTAGGGCGTTAGCTTGTAGCCCCGTGACGGCGAATTTCAGGACAAGCATGACCTAAAACTCACACAGATCAGTTTTCTTTCTGTCTTCCCTCCCCCAGTACTAGGGACTGAACCTAGAGTTCTTGCCCTAACCTAAACTACATCGTGGGCCTTTTTATTACGTTATTTCCCAACAGGGTCGGGCTAAACGACTCCACCGCGGCCGCTGGCCTCCCTCGAGTGCCGGGATCCCCGGGGGGCGGCACACGCCCGGTGCGCGCCTCCTGTCCTAGCGGCTCCGCTCCCCGGAGCTGAGGGGTCACTTTGTCGCTGGTTCCCGAGGGACCAGGAGAAAGGGAGCAGGCCCGCCCCCTCCTGACCCCGGGGCCGACGCGAGGGGCCGAGCCGATCCTGCGCTGCTCCCCCAGGCGCGCGCTGCCCGCCCGCAGCTCTTCCTCTTCCCGGAGGGGAGGGGCGCACCGACGGTCACGCGCGCGGAGTTGCGGGCGGGCGGGCGCAGGGGGCGTG